AAATAGCTATGTAAAACAGTAGTTAGTACAATACTACCCTTTCACTAAGGTTTTAATTTTTTTAAATTAATTAATTGCACAGTAAAGGATGTTATTGCTTTTAAAAGTAGCATTTTTATATTTTTATTATAACATGATGAGCATAAAATGTAGTTAACTTACATGTTTTATTTATAAAACTCATTTATCAAAAATCACATATTGATTCTTATTATTTGCCATAACAATTCTTAAAAATAGAAAACCTCTCTAAAAATATACTTCTTAGCAAAACTTAAAGATTTAATTATAGAGATCAAAAATTATAATGTTTATAATTATAGTGTTATTTGGCACAAAATTATTCTCATTAACTTACAAACAACATGAAAAAGCTTTTTAACATAAAATTGTTTCAAAAGGACTTCTACAAAAGGCACCTTAATGAAAAACAATACTTAAATATAATTAAGAATCACTGATAAGTCAACTTTTAGAATCAGTGTTACCTGGGAGATTATACCAACTTACGCTGTTTCAAAAACTAGCCTACATTTTATCACATTCACCGATCATATCTATTATCATTTAATTACAGTGTTTAATTTTCTGTGCCTTATTACTCGTTTGCTAAATTTTCAACATTATTATTAACACAAATTTTCCCAAAAAAGTCTGCAATTAGCAGGCATTAACGGACACAGGTTTTGAATTATGTTTTTCCTTTTGTCAGTAATGCCTCTTTCAGAAAATCTAGTACAAGGTTAAGGTATTTCTTTTAATTTGAGGATTTTCACTTTACTGGACATATTCTCTTTGTGGCAAATTTTATACAGAATACATTGGGCACAGAAAATTCACTCCATAAAATTTAAATAAATAGCGACTCTTGCTATGCATGAGAAAACACCAGCCGCGAAATAATAAAATAAAAAAGAATCATCAAAATCTGTTCTCCTAAAAACAGTTCTAAGGTAACTTTCAAAAAGTTACCTTATAAGTTGGTTGAAAAAAGAAATATCTGACATACTGCTCTCTCGGTTACCATGGCAGTATAGGCTGTAATAAATGATATATCTAATAATTGTCTATCTGATAACCATCAGTAAGCTTACTCTTGAATCCAATAACAATTTCGATCCAATGTCAATTTCAGTTATTAATATTGTTGTTTTAATTTTTCCACCACAACAACAATATATAATAATTTTGTTACAACAACAATAGCATTACTGTAATTTAAAATAAATAAGACATCAAATTTTATCAATGTTTCCATGATATTTTAAATTGATTTGTTTTCTTTTAATTTCTGTTGTAAAAGAAACAAATTTTTGGTTTATTATAAATATAGTTTTCACTGTTATATAAAAAAAAAAAAATTAATAAATTTAAGAACAGATACATACTAATGATGATAGATTAATTAAAATATTTCTTTATTAAATAAATGGTTAAACATTGTATCATAGTTTTATTAATAAATCCTTATTAAAATTACATTACCTATATAATTTTATTTTTAAAACTTATAAAATTATACATGTAATGTAACTTAACATTATATTCATATTTCCTAGATGTGACATCCGCCAATAAACCTCTCAGAAATGAGAATAGACCTCTGCCCAGCAGTGGAACATATAAAGGCAGTAAATTAATTTTTTTAGGCTAATATTCATTAACAGTACTTCATTCGTAATATGTCTTCTGAGAAGATTCTTCTCCTCTGAGGTTACATTTTTATTCATGGCTTAATATATAAGTCCTTAATAATGTACCTCGTAATGTAATGTACCTCGTGAAACTCAGTGCCGGACCACTAAACAGCTGCTTCTCAGAACTCCTTCTCATTTCACAAGCCGATGTGGTGGATCCTTTACTGTAAGGGCGGTCAAGCTATGGAACTCACTTCCACATGACATACGTGCTAGCTCTTCTCTTGATACATTTCGGAGCAGAGTAAAGAAATATTATCTATCAACTTAGAATTACAAATATTTATATATGTTATGTATTTATATGTATAATTGTATATATGTATATTTATATATGTGTACATGTATGTATATATGTATATATATATATATATATATATATATATATATATATATGTGTGTGGATGTGTATATGTGTATGTGTTTATTATCTTTATTAGTATATATGTATGTAAATCAATAGAAATAAGAAAATAAATTATACTTATATTTTATACACTTATATGTTAATTATCAACTGTAACTTTAGCCAATTTCTATTAAGTAGTGTTAAGTTAAATATTAAGTACGCACGCTGCTACCTATTTGCTAAATATGTAAAACTATTTCGCTTTCCCAATAGGTTTGCTGGAAGAAAACTCTTACTAGGGTTAAGCTCGCCTTTGTACATTTTATTTGAATATTTAATAATTGTTACCAACTTAGTGTGTACAATAAAGAATAAAGAAAGAACAATAGCATTACTGTAATTTAAAATAAATAAGACATCAAATTTTATCAATGTTTCCATGTTATTTTAAATTGATTTGTTTTCTTTTAATTTCTGTTGTAAAAGAAACTAATTTTTGGTTTATTATAAATATAGTTTTCACTGTTATATAAAAAAATTAATTAATTAATTTAAGAACAGATACATACTAATGATGATAGATTAATTAAAATATTTCGTTATTAAATAAATGGTTAAACATTGTATCATAGTTTTATTAATAAATCCTTATTAAAATTACATTATCTATATCGTTTTATTTTTAATACTTATAAAATTATACATTTAATGTAACTTAACATTATATTCATACTTCCTACATGAAAAATCCGCAAATAAACCCCTCAGAAATGAGAATAGACCTCTGCCCAGCAGTGGGACATATAAAGGCTGTAAATTAATTTTTTTTAGGCAACATTGATTAACAGTACTTCATTCGTAATATGTCTTCTGAGAAGATTCTTCTCCTCGGAGATTGCATATTTAGATTTTTATTCATGGCTTAATATATAAGTCCTTAATAATACAATAATTAGCCCTAAACTCATCATCACTGATAGAAAAGACTAAGTCTTTAAAATGTATTATAGAAAGCTCATTTCATCTTTATTTTAATTGTAATGCACAATTATAGCGTAGAATATTAAACACAAAAGCTAAATGTGCCATTATTTTATCGCAATGAATAAGATAATTGCAGAAAACAAATAATTAATATGAACACTTCATAAAGATAATATTTTGCTATTGCCTAAATTTCAATTCCAACTCAATACAACACAATATGCAGTTGTGAACTAATTGTCAAAACTGTGTCAAGAGTATTAGATTTTGCTTACAATCGGATTGGTTAAATTCAATTCTAATCTCAATTAGTTCACACAATCACTACACAATATTAAAATAATTTAGTGCTACAGTCCCTATCAAGAGTATGAAATGTTATAATTTCAATTCCGATTGATCGGAATTGTTTTCAAGAGTAAGCTTGAAGGTTTTTTTAAGGCGAAAAGGGGGCAAATGAGCATACAGTTTATCTAATGGTAGGTTAGTAGTTAGTAAAGTAGTTATCAAGTTTATAAATCCTTAAGAACATTTTGTACACTTATTATATTGTATAAGATAAGATATAATATGATTTAAGTAGCCACCCCAAGTACATACTCAATTCCAAATTACCTTATAGAGATTATAAAAAAAAGTTTGAATCATTTTTCGCCCGACATACACATTCAATGAATGTGACACCTACATACAGGTATCTAATTCTACCATTTAAACATATACATGCTAATTATATTGTTTTTAATTTAAAACTCACCTTCTAGATACAAACTTGGAACAGCTGTTATGATTAAACGATGACTTGTACTTATGTAATTTGATTCAAAGTGGTAATCACATATCTTTTTAGTAGTGAAAATTTTCATTGGTTCTATTCTAATCTATTTCCATCTTTCGACATCCAAATATGGAACATCTTTATAGGATGAGGGAACCTATGTATATATACACCTGAAAATAAACATGTTCTATTAGTATAACAGTGTGAAATTGTAATTCCAAGTAACCTTTCCCGTTGAATTATCAATATGTTTAAGTGATAGGTTTTCAAACATTTCTTACCTTATTCGTCGCATCCAAAAACACAAATCTTTCTTCGTGACGACATCGTAAGAATAAAATAACAGTAATGAATGCAATGTAACAAAAATATTAAGCATGTATATGTTTAAATGGTAGAATTAGATACTGTATGTAGGTGTCACATTCATTGAATGTGTATGTGGGGGGAAAATGAGTCAAACTGTTTTTTTATAATGTCTATAGGGTGGTAATTTGGAATTGAGTATATACTTGGGGTGGCCACTTAAATCATATTATATCTTATACAATATAATAAGTGTACAAAATGTTCTTAAGGATTTATAAACTTGATAACTGCTGTACTAACTACTAACCTATTATTAGGTAAACTGTATGCTCATTTGCCCCCTTTTTGCCTTAAAAAAATCTTACTCTTGAAAACAATTCCGATTGATCGGAATTGTAATTATAACATTTCATACTCTTGATAGCCACTGTAGCGCTAAATGAGTTTAATATTGTGTGGTGATTGTGTGAACTAATTGAGATTAGAATTTATCCAATCCAATTGTAAGCAAAATCGGTACTCTTGACACAGATATCTGTCTAGTATTGAGTTGGAATTGAAATTTAGGCAATATTAAAACAGTAACCTTATGAAGTGTTCATATTAATTGTTGGTTTTCTGCAATTATCTTATTAATTGCGATAAAATAATGGCATGTTTAGGTTTTGTGTTTAATATTCTAAGAACTAGTTTCACCATACTCTGTTAGTTAGTTTTAACATCCAATTAAATAGATAACAGCCCGTTAGGCGTGGTGAGTGTTTCACCACGTACTAACGAATGGTTAATTCTCTTAACAAGGCGTTAAAGTTAATTACTGCTCCAAAGGTCCGTTAATGCTTTTAACGGCTGTCAATTTTTTGTCAGTTGGTCAAATAAAATGGAAGCGGCGTATAATTTTATTTTTGAACACGAAAATGATGATATTTTAGAAAATTTAGAACTTTTAGATAATATTGTTCGACGTCCTAAGACATATAAAGAGCGACGTGATTATTTTGAAGAATATGACGATGTAGATTTTAGGACAAGGTTTCGTTTATCGAAAGAATCTTGTTTGGATGTTTTGCAAATGATTGAAGATAAACTTGAATATCCATCAAATCGGTGAGTACCTACTTTAACATTGCCTTATTTTGTAAATTGTATTAAAAATATGTCTATGTTTTGTTATTTAGTACAACTTTTTACGTAAGGTGTTTAATATTAGTTATTAAAAATGTTCGGATGCTAATTCTGCCGTGCCAATTGAAAACGCAGTAAAAATATTTTTGATAAATTGAGTTATATATAGAGTTGGATAGAGTTCATCACGAAGACTAAAATATTTAATAACTCGATTTATCCAAAAACCTTCCTTACTTTATTTCTAATTGACACAGCAGAATTGTAACAATTTAAAAATTCACACAGTGTTTCCACTTGTAATAGGATCACTTCATCATCTTTACCGTGAATGTTACACAAAGCATCAAGAGAATAATGATATGTATGACGGGCATATATGAAACTAACCTAAAATGTTGTTTGCTTACAGAAACAAGTCGATATCGCCAATAAACCAACTTCTTCTAACTTTGAGATATTATGCCACTGGTTCACAACAAATAACTATGGGTGATTACTGTGGAATGAGCAAATCCACTTCTCACAGAATTATACACCGAGTTACTGTGGCTATAGCGTCACTCGGTCGCCAGTTTATAAAATTTCCTGCCTCAGAAGAAGAAGTAAAAAAAGAACAATTACAATTTTATAACATAGCACGCTTTCCTAAGGCACTGGGTGCTCTGGATTGTACACATATACGTATTCGTTCTCCTGGTGGGGAAAATGGAGAACATTTTAGAAATAGAAAAGGCTACATGTCTATAAATGTGCAAGCAATAGGAAATGCTAACTTGGAAATTTTAGATTTGGTTGCGAGATGGCCAGGAAGTAACCAAGATCAAACTATTTGGAACGGATCATACAGAAACACTATATTTGAAAGTGGTCAATATGGTGATGCCTTTCTTTTAGCAGACAGTGGTTACATGAACCGACCATACATGCCACTGCAGTATCCATTAACCCCAGAGGAGAGATTGTACAATGAATCACAAATAAGAAGTAGGAACCCCATTGAACGCCTGTTTGGAATATGGAAACGTCGATTCCCAGTACTTACATTAGGTATACAAGTACAGTTGAAAAATTGCCTTCCTATAATTGTTGCTACGGCTGTGTTGCACAACATCTTAATAAAAGCAAAAGAAGAGCTGCCATCTGATGATCCAGAAATACAACTTCCTGCTCCTTGGGACGATTTAATTGAACAAGGGCATATTAGAGAGCACAGACATAATGATAACATAAACAGAGATATAAATCCTGTGCGCAGAAGTCTTATTAATAATTACTTCAGAAGTTTGCATTTACAATCATTATAAATAAAAGTCATTTTACAGTGTAACCTAATTTTTATTTTTTGCCAAAGATAACTGTAACTCTAATAGTTCAGTTTTTAATCTTTCTTGTTTAAGTTGCTCGTCGAGCAATAAATTTTTCTTTTCTGCCTCAATTTCTACATTTTTTTTCAAAATTTCTACTAGCTCCAACTTGCTAGCCAGTAAATTGTCAGCCATTGAAGCCCTTGGTCTTCTCCTGTGAAGCCATGTCGGACTCCCCTTTTTTTTTGTAATCAGTGCATCTGACATTTTGGTTTTTAGTGCAGCTGGAGACCAACCATGCCAAATATTATCCTTATCCTAAAACAAAAAGTATGTTTATTATATTCAGTTCAAACTTCATTCATGTGATAAAATCTACATAAGCAGTTTGAAATGGCATTGCACAATCCTGTACCAATAACAGTTGGCGATGAAATAGTATATTTGTGATGAGATTGGTACCTGAACTTCACAACGACTTCTGCCATCAATTGCTTCCTTATTTAAACCCTCTGATTCAGCCAAGGAGCTATTCAGTCCCGAGGAACCAGCTTGGTCAATCTGAAATAAAATAAATATTAAAAATAAAATCTATCTGTATTGAAATACATTTATATATTATATCTTAAAACAAAGTCTATTTGAGTTAATCTGAAAATCTACTTTCAATTTGTTTTAGTTGTTAAGTAGGTAGTTAAAGTCATCCATGTAAAGGTGCTATAATAAGTTAATTTAAGATTGTGACTACTTAGTGGTATCTAAGGGTATTTTATGTACATATTTTGTGTTGAAATATACAGTATTACACATAAATTAAAGACATAGAGAACTAGCTAGTATGTTTAAAATTACCACAGTTGAACAGCCAGGTACTGCATCTAATAAAACAATGGTCGGTAATACTTCTGCAACTTCCATTACTTTATTCGACGGTGTAACCGAGTCTTCTTGAAATTGACCATCACTATCAAATTCGTTATGAAGACCATCTAATGTAGGGCCAAGTAATATTTCTACTTGCTCTTGAAAAGGCCCTGGTGGTGGATGATTGGGCTTGCCCCCACCTGGAAATAGCAAAGTATAGATTATGAAACAGTGTTAACACTAAAAAGGAGCGTAAGTAGTCACTAGGCATCACTACAACACTACTTATGTCTTGTTTGCAGACTAGGAAACCACTGAATGAATTTTGGTGAGAGTTTGGTTTACAGTCAGAATAGTTAGGTATTTGGGCTTAGCTTTCCATTGACGTCAGTGGAGTTTGGTGTTGATACGTATTTTTACAGAAAGATTACACTATTATAAGCACACACACAAAGTCTCAATATACGGAAACGCGTAATTTTTGAGAAAAGAATAATTGAAAATCAATTATTCTTGCAATGTTTATGTCTAATCTGCTAATAAACTGGCGCCATTTTGTAATGTCATTGTCGACGTCAATAGGGATGTCGATTCTTTCCGAAAAAGATCGATTTTTAAATCGATTCAAATCGTAAGCTGATGTATCGGTTCACAAAAAATCGATTTCTAAAATATCTATATTTTTTTAATATTTCTATTTATAATGTAAATATAAACCCATTTTATGAAAAACAAGAAAGATACCATGATAAATGATCTCTTATTGAAATTTGTTTTATTTAACAGTACCTATTAGGGCAGATAACAAATAAAATAGGTTAGGTTCAACTTATGTCAAAGAACCGAATTGATTGACCCCGACTCCACCTGGTACGAGTCTGTCCTACCCCTAGAGTGGTTTTATAGAGCCGGAGGCGCGTAGGGGGAGCAGCCTCCGCCTGCTGTAACAAATCATAGGCATCGGACGAGCCGGAGCGGCTGAGGCTGGTCGCCGAAGGCGACCAACAAGCCGAAGCTGCGGAGGCGAGGAGGGATGCCTGCGATTTGTTACGCTAAGGCGTAGAGGTTGCTCTTCCCGCAGCGCCGGAGACGTAGCAGTCTCAAAATAAATACAGAAATCCTTATGAATCAGTCCCCTTATGTTTTTATGATGAAGGGGATTTTTTTTCTCATAAAATGGATTTATATTTACATTATAAATGCAAACATGAAAAAAATATCGATATTTTAGAAATCGATTTTTCGGGAATCGATACATCAGCTTACGATTTGAATCGATTTAAAAATCGACCTTTTTCGGAAAGAATCGACATCCCTATTGACGTCGACAATGACATTACAAAATGGCGCCAGTTTATTAGCAGATTAGACATAAACATTGCAAGAATAATTGATTTTCAATTATTCTTTTCTCAAAAATTACGCGTTTCCGTATATTGAGACTTTGTGTGTGTGCTTATAACAGTGTAATCTTTCTGTAAAAATACGTATCAACACCATACTCCACTGACGTCAATAGAAAGTCGTACCGGTATTTGAAATAGAGATCATAAATTATTACTGTGCTACAATGTTTGAAAACTATAACGTGTTATTAAGTTACAAATAGATCATACCTGTTAAGAAAATCTCCTTCTTAGTTGCAGCTTTGTCTTTCCTTGTCGTTCTTTTAAGGTTATCCCAACAAGTCCTAAGTTGGTCGGTATTTCGGACATTGAAACTACTCAGGGAGTTGAACTCTTCCGTGAGCACCTTCCAACCCTCATTTTTATGAGCAATCGTCACTGCATCTGTTTTTTTGTTTTCTATTATATGTTTATGTTTTAGAATGAGTCCTATTAAAATTTCTTTTTCATTAGCACAGAAATTAGGTCCACGATTTTTTTTCGACATTTTAAAACACTAATTAACTAAAAATTACGAAATTTAGGAATTAAAAACCACCACAAAACGAAATCTACAAGCGCGAATCCGAAAATGTTTGACGTTCAAAACGACTAATATAGAATTACACTGTTTACGGAACGTTTTGTATAGGCGCCATAACATTTTGATTTGGCTGCATAATAACGAGAGTGAAGTGTAAAAGATTGACAAGTCAGACCGGTCGGTTTTGTTCACTTGATCACAGACAATATCTAGTTTATGTTTGATTTAGTAACGCCTCGTTAAGATCCCTTTATAGAACGTAAACATTTTTGACGTCGACGTCAATTTTAACAGAACATTTGTTAATGGGTAATTAAGAATAGTTTGGTGAAATCGGGTCTAAGCCATAATTGTGCATTACAATTAAAATAAAGATGAAATGAGCTTTCTATAATACATTTTAAAGACTTAGTCTTTTCTATCAGTGATGATGAGTTTAGGGCTAATTATTGTATTATTAAGGACTTATATATTAAGCCATGAATAAAAATCTAAATATGCAATCTCCGAGGAGAAGAATCTTCTCAGAAGACATATTACGAATGAAGTACTGTTAATCAATGTTGCCTAAAAAAAATTAATTTACAGCCTTTATATGTCCCACTGCTGGGCAGAGGTCTATTCTCATTTCTGAGGGGTTTATTTGCGGATTTTTCATGTAGGAAGTATGAATATAATGTTAAGTTACATTAAATGTATAATTTTATAAGTATTAAAAATAAAACGATATAGATAATGTAATTTTAATAAGGATTTATTAATAAAACTATGATACAATGTTTAACCATTTATTTAATAACGAAATATTTTAATTAATCTATCATCATTAGTATGTATCTGTTCTTAAATTAATTAATTAATTTTTTTATATAACAGTGAAAACTATATTTATAATAAACCAAAAATTAGTTTCTTTTACAACAGAAATTAAAAGAAAACAAATCAATTTAAAATAACATGGAAACATTGATAAAATTTAATGTCTTATTTATTTTAAATTACAGTAATGCTATTGTTCTTTCTTTATTCTTTATTGTACACACTAAGTTGGTAACAATTATTAAATATTCAAATAAAATGTACAAAGGCGAGCTTAACCCTAGTAAGAGTTTTCTTCCAGCAAACCTATTGGGAAAGCGAAATAGTTTTACATATTTAGCAAGTAGGTAGCAGCGTGCGTACTTAATATTTAACTTAACACTACTTAATAGAAATTGGCTAAAGTTACAGTTGATAATTAACATATAAGTGTATAAAATATAAGTATAATTTATTTTCTTATTTCTATTGATTTACATACATATATACTAATAAAGATAATAAACACATACACATATACACATCCACACACATACACATATATATATATATATATATACATATATACATACATGTACACATATATAAATATACATATATACAATTATACATATAAATACATAACATATATAAATATTTGTAATTCTAAGTTGATAGATAATATTTCTTTACTCTGCTCCGAAATGTATCATGAGAAGAGCAAGCACGTATGTCATGTGGAAGTGAGTTCCATAGCTTGACCGCCCTTACAGTAAAGGATCCACCACATCGGCTTGTGAAATGAGAAGGAGTTCTGAGAAGCAGCTGTTTAGTGGTCCGGCACTGAGTTTCACGAGGTACAAGATACTCAAAACGCTCGCGGAGATATGGAGGTGCAAGAGGATTAAAGAGTAGAAAGTAAAGAAATGATAACACATGTAAGTCTCGACGTCTGCGGATAGGAAGCCATTTTAATTGAGCCCTGTACTCTGAAACATGATCAAACTTACGAAGACCAAAAATAAAACGTATACACAAATTTTGAACACGTTCCAGTTTGTTCAACAGCTCCTCTGAAGCATCCAAAAAACTAACATCAGCGTAGTCAATGAGAGGAAGAAGAAGTGCTTGAGCTAAGGTTATCTTAGTTTTTAACGGTAAAAACATCTGGAGGCGCTTGAGAGATTGAAAAAAATAGTTCACTTTTCTGCTAATCATATTAATGTGAGCAACCCAAGACAAATTATTATCAAAAATAACACCTAAGTTCTTAGCAGTCTCTGTATATGGAATTTGAGTATTATCATACGTTACTGCAGGGATCTTCGAACGATCTAATAAATTAAGCATATATGAGCTGCCGATAATCATTACTTGGGATTTAGCAGGATTAACAAGAAGACCAAACGATTTCGCCCAACTGCTTATGCTACTTAGGTCAGCATTCAGCTTATTAATAGCCTCATCTATATCTTGGACTTTGAAATGACGGTATAATTGCAAGTCGTCAGCATAGAGATGATAATGAGAGGTGAGAACAGTAGTGAGAGCGTTGATAAAAATAGAGAAGAGAAGTGGGGAAAGAACACCACCCTGAGGAACACCCGCCGTGAGATCACACCACTCGGAGAAATCCTCCTCATGGCGTACACACTGCGAGCGACCCCTAAGGTAAGAATTAAACCAAGAGATTACTGATGGTGAAATGTTTAAGGACGAAAGAATACCAAGAAGTATGTCATAATCAACGGAATTAAATGCACTGCTGAAGTCCAATAATGTTAGAACAGTGAGAAATTTTTTGTCCATGGCCCAGCGAATGTCATCAGACACTTTAATCAGAGCGCTGACTGTGCTATGGCCTGGACGAAAACCAGATTGAAAAGGGCACAGCAGGCTGTGAACAGTTAGGAAATGAGATAGTTGCCTCTGAACTATATTTTCTAGTACTTTAGATAAGATCGGAAGAATAGAAATAGGGCGGAATTGGGATAAAGATGTAGGATTAGAAGTTTTTGGAAGGGGAATGATGAATGCCTTTTTCCAGCAAGTTGGAAAGGAGCTCGTTTCAAGCGACGAAGAGATAATGTGAGTGATAATAGGGACAAGTTCATTAGTGATAGGTTTAATCATTTGTATACAAAGATTGTCATAGCCAATAGCTTTAGTGGAAATAGATAAAAGGCATTTTTTTATTTCACCATCAGTAACTTTACTGAAATTAAAAGGAGAACACAGCGGCTTAGGAATATTGGAGAGAAGATTAAGTGTCACAGACTTAATAGAGTCATCAATAGAAATCGGAGGCTCAGAAAAGTGCCGGTTGAGTGCAGTCAAATCAAACGAGATATTAGGATCATTATATGAGTTGCCTATACCCAGAGTTCTAAGAAATTTCCACATCTGAGCGGAATGAGAATTTTCAACCTCATCATAGATATGTCTCCTCTTAGCATCACGACACATCTTACTACAGCGATTACGTAGTTTTTATAAGTGAATAAATTTTCATTAGTAGGATGCTTCTTATAACGCCTCTTAGCTTTATCTCTTTTGGACATTACTGCTTTTATAGACTCTGAAAGCCAGGGGGCTGGAAAGTGTTTAACCCTGACTCGCTTAAGTGGTGCATGTGTATCGAAGAGTTTTAAAATGAGGTGATTAAAAGCATAAACCTTATCATTAACATTTTCGGAATTTAGAACAGGGGACCAGTCAATATTATTTACATCATCTCTCAAACGCTCCAGGTTAATTGATTTAAAGCTTCTTAAGAATAAGAATTTCGATTTGCGCCTAGGACGTTGAATTTTATAGGAGAGGAAGATAAGATCGTGGTAAGAGAAAGACGCAGATAGTTGACCATGCGAAGCAACCCGGTCAGCATCAGATACAAGAATAAGGTCTAAAAGAGAAGGGGTACTATTAGGCGAATGGTGAGTAGCAGAAAGAGGAAGAATATGTAAATTAAAAGATGATACCAGGGAGAGCAATTTTTTGCTACGAAAATCATTCTTTAACAGGCATGTGTTAAAGTCACCTAAAATAATGGTATTATCATAAAGCGGAGTAAGATTCACAAGTTTTTCTTCCAGAGAAAAAAAATAATTTATATTGCGAGAGGGGGGATAATAGACCCCAAGCAAAGTCCTAGAATGATTAATAGTAATTTCAATAAATAAATGTTCAGCAAAATTTGAGTAAATATTGGGTGAATGATCAACTATTTTATAGGGAATGTCAGCTCTCAAATAGATTGCCACTCCACCATAACCTTTGCCGACCCTGTCATTGCGTATAAGTTGAAAACCAGGGAGACAATACTGCACCGACGGAAGTGCAGGTTTTAGAAAAGTTTCAGAAACAAGTATGGCATCAACATATTTAGAATCAAAGGTTGATAAAAGGTCAGCGTAATGAGCATGAATGCTTTGAGCGTTAATATGGACTATATTAAGATTTTTACTATAATTACAGAATACGGCTACTAGTTGATCATCTAAATGAGTGGAATCATCGCTTAAGAGGGCCCTTCCCGGCCCGTCTATCGTCAACGCGAGCATGGTTAAAAAGCTTGTTGTTTCATCCAGCGCAATGTTAGAAAAAGAGGCAAAGCGAAAAGAGAAAGACAGCGTCTGAGCGTTCGGTTGGCATTCGGTAAATTACGGGCTCGCTACTATGGCGCATAGCTATAGTTTTGTAAATTTCTTTGCATGCCTACATTTAGTAGGTACCATATTATTTTATTATATTACTCTTTGTCTAGTATAGACGTGCCACTTGGCCTCGGAGATATGTGTGTGTTGCTTTTTACCAAACTAGGTATCGTACGTGCGCTATTTTTGACATGGAAATTATTTATGTTATAATTATAAATATAATATATTAAAGAAATTATTTATGTTATAAATAATTTTATAATGTTATAAATAATTTTCCATGTATAAAATAATATGTCGCAAATAAAAATAACTGTCACTCAGAGTCGGCCAACTCGTGTGTGTAAGTACACTCGGCGACACATCAAGCTATACATTTCCAGTATAACATGGCCTCGCTTTCTTTCAATTTCCCGTACAATAAGAGTACCACATAAACTGGTTTATATACCTTGATTTGTCGTCGTGCGTACAAGCCCGGCACGCAAACATTCACAACATATTAGT